CGGCCAAGGGGCACCCCAGCTTGGATAGCATGGGCGAGCTGGCACGGCCAAGGGGCACCCCAGCTTGGATAGCATGGGCGAGCTGGCACGGCCAAGGGGCACCCCAGCTTGGATAGCATGGGCGAGCTGGCACGGCCAAGGGGCACCCCAGCTTGGATAGCATGGGCGAGCTGGCACGGCCAAGGGGCACCCCAGCTTGGATAGCATGGGCGAGCTGGCACGGCCAAGGGGCACCCCAGCTTGGATAGCATGGGCGAGCTGGCACGGCCAAGGGGCACCCCAGCTTGGATAGCATGGGCGAGCTGGCACGGCCAAGGGGCACCCCAGCTTGGATAGCATGGGCGAGCTGGCACGGCCAAGGGGCACCCCAGCTTGGATAGCATGGGCGAGCTGGCACGGCCAAGGGGCACCCCAGCTTGGATAGCATGGGCGAGCTGGCACGGCCAAGGGGCACCCCAGCTTGGATAGCATGGGCGAGCTGGCACGGCCAAGGGGCACCCCAGCTTGGATAGCATGGGCGAGCTGGCACGGCCAAGGGGCACCCCAGCTTGGATAGCATGGGCGAGCTGGCACGGCCAAGGGGCACCCCAGCTTGGATAGCATGGGCGAGCTGGCACGGCCAAGGGGCACCCCAGCTTGGATAGCATGGGCGAGCTGGCACGGCCAAGGGGCACCCCAGCTTGGATAGCATGGGCGAGCTGGCACGGCCAAGGGGCACCCCAGCTTGGATAGCATGGGCGAGCTGGCACGGCCAAGGGGCACCCCAGCTTGGATAGCATGGGCGAGCTGGCACGGCCAAGGGGCACCCCAGCTTGGATAGCATGGGCGAGCTGGCACGGCCAAGGGGCACCCCAGCTTGGATAGCATGGGCGAGCTGGCACGGCCAAGGGGCACCCCAGCTTGGATAGCATGGGCGAGCTGGCACGGCCAAGGGGCACCCCAGCTTGGATAGCATGGGCGAGCTGGCACGGCCAAGGGGCACCCCAGCTTGGATAGCATGGGCGAGCTGGCACGGCCAAGGGGCACCCCAGCTTGGATAGCATGGGCGAGCTGGCACGGCCAAGGGGCACCCCAGCTTGGATAGCATGGGCGAGCTGGCACGGCCAAGGGGCACCCCAGCTTGGATAGCATGGGCGAGCTGGCACGGCCAAGGGGCACCCCAGCTTGGATAGCATGGGCGAGCTGGCACGGCCAAGGGGCACCCCAGCTTGGATAGCATGGGCGAGCTGGCACGGCCAAGGGGCACCCCAGCTTGGATAGCATGGGCGAGCTGGCACGGCCAAGGGGCACCCCAGCTTGGATAGCATGGGCGAGCTGGCACGGCCAAGGGGCACCCCAGCTTGGATAGCATGGGCGAGCTGGCACGGCCAAGGGGCACCCCAGCTTGGATAGCATGGGCGAGCTGGCACGGCCAAGGGGCACCCCAGCTTGGATAGCATGGGCGAGCTGGCACGGCCAAGGGGCACCCCAGCTTGGATAGCATGGGCGAGCTGGCACGGCCAAGGGGCACCCCAGCTTGGATAGCATGGGGTGCAAGGGAGGCTGCAGGGGCGCAGAGAGGGACACAGCCGGGGCGCACAGAGAGGGGGCAGAACGGGGAGAGACCCCCCCACCCCCGCCTTGCTCTGGGCACCGGCCCAGCCCTCTGAGAGGGAGGGGTACTGTGCTGCAGGGAGCTGCCCGGAATGATGCGCCTGGAGAAGCCTATTTATAGCGAGGACTTGGAGACAGTTTCCTGGCAAGCAGCTGGCAGGTGTGCGGTGGGGGGTTGTTTCAGTCCCTCCGTGGCCCCTCCAGCAGGGAGAGTTGCTTGAGGGTCCCTCCCTCCTTCTGGGGGTGGGGAGAAGCCAGTTCCCGGTGTTTCCCCGTGTCCTGGGCTCAGGGACCCTCTCCCAGCAGGGCCCCCTGTGGCCCGGTCTCTGGAAAGCTCTGGTACAGCAGGAGTAAAAGCTGGAGTCGGTGTGTGTTTGGGGCCTGAGTGCCCTACCCCCCTGGTCATCTGGTTGTTCAGACTGCAAGGCCAAGACTGCAGGGCTGGTCCTGGCTTTTGTTCAGCATCCAGGGTCCCGGGCCTATCCCAGGGCTCCTAGGTCCTGCCACAGTGTGAATAAAAAACAAGGAAACGAGGGTGGAGGCAGCCGTCCTGGTACCAGCCTTGTAAAGGGCCGGTGGGCCCAGCTCCCTGTGGGGGTAGACGCTGTGTACAGCCCAGCTGGGTAGGAGGGGCAGGGTGGGTTATGGAGCCTTTCCCCTGGGGGGGCTCCGGCCTGAATCCAGCCGGTTGGTAAGAAGCTGCTGCCATTGTGTGGTGTCTGGCGTGAATGGAGCAGGTCTGGGTTTTGTGGTAGCAGCTGCCCGGAGCCCCTGCCAACCTCCGCTGCTGGCCCCATGGCCTTGCAGGCATCAGGATGGGGGAGGGGTACGCGAGATGGGATCCTGTCTTTGTTGAGTGATGGGAGCTTCCGTGTTTCCCTGGGGCAGGCCAGTGATTGAAAAGAAACTTCCTTGGAAGGTAGACGTGGCTCTTCCCCACTGGGCTGTGGGGGGCGGGGGCACGGGCCGCTCGGTGGCCCCCACGCCAGCAGTGTGGGTGTCTCTCAATCCAGCTCTTGGAAAGTGAGGGAGACTGCCCATGTTGCGTGTGTAGCGTCTGCTCTGAACCCTGGGCTGGGACAGCTGCCGTCCCCCAGCTCGGACTGGCTTCCCCACTCGTCCAGCTGACATGGCCCGCCCTTCCTGTACATGAGCCTGCCGTCTCGTCCTCCCACCAGCCTCTCTCTGGGGCTGTGTCTCTCCAGCTATGGTCACTGTCGCGGACAGGAGCCAGGGAGGGGCTGTCTGGCACCCCTGTCATGTCTTTGGTGGTTACACCTGCCCACATGCCAGAAAACACCCCTCTACCCTCCAGGCTGTTCTTTGAATACAACCGGGTGCCATGCCGGAGCACCTACAGCCCACAGGGACAGGGACGCTACAGGGTGTTTCCTGAACCGGCACAACACCCCAGTCGTGTCTCCATCCCCGAGCACCTGGCAGTCCCAGCCCCGGTGTTAGCTTCCTCCCCGCAGTTAATATCTAGACATCCAAGGTGCAAACCCTCAGGCAGAAGGCTCGAGGTGGCGGCTTGGCTCCGGACAGCTGTGCAGATGCTGGGTTGGATGGGGGGCATCCTCCTGACACTGAGGATAGGAGCCAAGCGGGCGGTCAGCGCTTTCACGCTTCCGGACTTTCTCCCACGGTGCCCCTAGGGGTGTTAGGCGCTGCCCCGAGCAGGGCCGGTGCCCGAAAGAGCTGCCCAGGGACAGAGCTTGCAAAGAAAACATCTGCTGTTGGGGCCTCCCTGAGCTTCAGATTGGGTGGGCGAGGGGAGCCCCACTCAGCACGCGTGGATGTGCAGACTTTGCGAGAGAGGCCAAGAGGCCACCCAGGAGAGATTCAGGTGCTGCCCAGCTGGTTAGCAGAGCGCCCCCAGCCAGCACCATGTGTTCTTACTGGTGGTGCACATCCACACGTCTTGGTGCACAGAACAAAATTTATTCCACACATGGATGGAAAAAAATAGCGGGAACATGGGACCCCTCTGGATTCAGCTTCTTGCTCCACCACAGACCCCCTGTGTGACATTAGCTTGTCCGTTGGTCCCCTCTGCCGGTGTGTGGCGAGACACCTAAAGGTGGCGAGCTGCTTGGGGTGGGGAGGAGCCATGCGACTTACGCAGCCAGCGAATTCCATGGGGCAGAGGCCCTGTGTTGTTCTGCATGGGCACAGCACCTCACCCGGCGGGGCTTGTCCTGGGAAACTGAGGCGCCACAAGAAGACACAAACAGGAGAGAGGAAGGGAGACAGGTGCCCAGCGCCCCAGCTGTGGTGCCCATGGCTGTGCACGAGGGGCTTTTACTGGCTGTTTTTGGCCTGGGTCTCAGACTGGCCAAGCGCCACCCTGCTCCCAGTTCTGGGTTCTTTGGTTACACTCTTTGCCTTCATCAGAAAGCCTGGATAGCCAGAGCCTGTCCATAGATCCCGGCTCCCCTCAGCTAGGACCCTTGCCTAGGGCAGGCAGTGTTGTCTAGTGGATATAGCACCAGGCTGGGCTTCAGGAGACCTGGGTTTAGTCCCGGGTCTGTCACTGCCTTGCGGGGTGGCCTAGAATAAATCCTTTCTCCTGCCTTTGGTTCAGCTTCCCCATCAGTCAAAGGAGCCTGCTGGCTCTTTAATTATGAGGGCGGATACCTGAGCTTCTGTATAGCCCTGCCCGGAGCCACTGGGTGCAGCTGCGACAGGAACATATTTCATTTTCTGACCCCAGATGCATAAGCCCCGACTTTGCCTCCATTTGGGGGGGTGCTTGACCCTCTTTCTCCGCCCCAGGCTCCGCCCTCACTCCACCCCTCCCCAAGCCCTTCCCCATCTCTGCCTGTGCCCTGTCCCCATTCCACTCCTTCCCCGAGCCCTGCCCCCATCCCACCTCCTCCCACGAGCGCACCCAGTCCCTGCCTCTCCCCAGCCTTCCTAGAGCTTCCTGAACACTGGGAATCAGCTGTTTGCGGCATTCTGGGAGTGCTGGAAGGGTGGGGGAGGAGGTCGGCGGGGCCGCCCACGCACGAGAGGCACAGGGGGGAAGAGATTGGTGCCAGTGGGTGTGCTGCACCCACTAATTTCCCCCTGTGGGTATTCCAGCCCTGGGGCACCCACGGAGTTGGCACCTATGCCCAGATGCAAACTAGCAAGTCAGATAGCGGAGCGGAAGGTAGTGGGAGGGGTTTTCTGAGCTCCTCCCACAAAACAGGCTCCGCCCACATGACTTACAGGCCCTGGTCACACTAGGCTATGCGGATGTGCAGGACAGGGGCCTGCTGCTTTCTTGGGCTGGGCTGAGCCCGGCTGCGCGTCCCAAAGGCCACACCCGTGCAGCACCAGGAGCCGCCGTGCGCCATGAGCCAGAGGGGCAGCCCCGTCCCTTCCTGACATCCCCTCCCTGCAAAGAACGGGGCAGCTCTCACCTGAGAGCGCCGTGGGCGCAGGCTCTCTGCAGACTCAGGGCTGGGTCCACGTGGCCCCCTGGAGGGGCTGTTGCTTCTCACCGCCGGAGCGGCTGACGTCCGACTGTCTTTCGGTGAAAACTGGGATTCTGCAGCTGGAGCGGGAGGCGTCTCTTTGCTGTTCCTGCGCTAATTTCTCCTCTCCTCCTGGCCTGACGTGGCCAGAGCTTTAAAAAACCAGCGAAGCTGCAGGAAGGGGCCGATGGCCTCCGCAGACGGCCAGACCCTCAAATGGCGAGAGGCTTTAGACAGACCAGCCGCGCTTTTCCTTTTCCTCTGAGTTGTGCCCAGCCACGGCTGCTGTTCCCCTTGCTGCAGATTGTTTATCTCCCCACACAGGAAATCGAAGGAAGGTTTCGTCTCCACGACACAGCTTCCAGCCACCCGGGGCTGTGCGGTGTAGACAAAGCCTTATGACTAACTCTCAGCGTGTGTAATCTTCAAAGGGATTTCCAGAGAGTCCCTGACCCCAGGGAGCTCCTGAGCGAATCGTGCGGGATTAGCATCTTGATCCCTATAATGCTGTTTTCCTGGGGCAGCCGCTAACAATTGACACCAGTGACTTAAAAGGAGACCTCCTCCGCCCGGCCTGGCCGCGGGAGAGACGGAGAGGACACGTGAGTGGCAGCGTGCGTTTCCCTGTGGTCTCCCCAGACCCTCTAGGGAGGACTCAGAATTCACACGGATCAAATGCAGCACGAGCCGTGGGGGGGGCAAGTGTTTGATCATCTGTTATAACTGGGTCATGGGGAAATGTGGATTTCCTCTGCAATAACCTGCAATTAGCCTGATGAAAGTCACCCAACTGGCTCTGTGATGGGGGGGGCAGGGGGAGGCTACCGTTGCAGTGAAGCTGATCTGCCCATAAGTGCTGGCCGGCGCTAGGCTGGCTCCCTTCCCGTTCAGCCGGTCCAGCCCAGTGTGCCGAGTGTCGATTACCACGAAGGATTCCTCCCCGTCCACCTCATGCGCCGCACTGAGATGCCCACCCCCTGCGCTGGCAGTGCTGTGAATGGAAGCAGCCGCCACACCCGTCAGACTCTGCCCCTCCGAGGCCCGGTCTCTCACACCCTGCCCTGGTGTTTGAGATGGGGCTTGATTTCCCACCCGTGGCGCTTCGCGTCGGGGTTGAAAACAGGCCGGGCTCCCCGCGGGCTCTGGGGCTCTGAAGCTCTGTGCAGGGCCCAGAGCGAGTGTTGCATTAGCTCCATCTCAGGCACCGACGTCTGGTCCTCATTCTACCGGTGGCTTTGGGCAGGCGGCTCTATCCAGCTTTGGGGTCTGTGGGGTTCCCCCCATTGCTGGAGTCTCTCAATGGATTCAGCCTCGTGTCACGGAGTCATAGGAGCTGGTCTGTGCCGCAGTCTCCTAGCAGGGACCCCTTTAGTGTACCAGGCCTCCAGACCCCACACAGCTCCACAAGGGCGCCAGTAGCCCCCCCGAATTAAAATTGGGGGAGTGTTTGAATTTACAAGGGGGTGTCAGGGCCGATGAGGGGTGACACTGTGAGGGTGAAGGTGGGCTGAATAGCACCATAGTTCATAAAACTGGGGGCGGGTTGGGGAAATGTAGGGGAGTATACACCCACATAGGGGGGGGTCGGGAAAGCCATGCCTACGGCTTCCACCCCTCCCTCACGGTCCTCTCTCTCCATGACTCCTTGCACCAAATCCAGCAACACTAGGCCCCCTCCCTCCCCTGTAGGAGGCCTGTCCCATGGCCCCTGGAGCACAAAGCTCCCCCAGGTATATCCAGTGACAGGGGCAGCCTTTGCCTAACGAGTTGCTCCTTGATTAGTTTCCTGGCTGCAGACCCTGAGAGGCCGGAGAAACTCTGCCATCGCCTAGAGCCCCTCCCCACAAGCCAGTGCCCTGGTGTGATGAAGTGGTGCCGTATTCGCTTCGTTCGCTTTGTTACCTTACGTGTGATTGCGACTGTCCCGCGTTAACCTCCAGTGTGCCTCAGTTTCCCTGGGCACTGCACCAGTGGCAACATGGCGATGGGGTTTTGGGTGGGACGGCCTCCTGCAGGCACACAATAGCTGATGCTTTCTGTTACCGGAACCTGGGAGGGGGGTGTGACCAGGCAACACCTTTTGCCCAGGAAGCAGGAGGCAGGGCGGGCTGCAGGGGCAGACTGGCTGCTGGGGAGGTGAGTGACTCTGGCTGGCTTGGGGTGCAGAGATGGGGGCAGGGCCCTTGGCTCTGATCACCCCTCTCCCCAAGTTGGATGGTGCTGGCTGCTCCTGGTCCCTGTGCTGACCAGTCTGTGCTGCGCTGGGTCCCTGTCACCTAAGACACCTTCTCTCTCCCCACTGGCTGGAGGCTCCTCTGGCTGTGGATGGGGGTGCAGGGCCCGGTGGCTCCCCACCCCTCGGACACACCTGGTTAGCCAGCATCTCTGCTCTCCGTCGCGTCCCTTTGTCCACCAAGGAGAGAGCCCTGCCCCGTCCCTCCCGACTCCTTTTCCCCTTGTTCTCCAGGAACGGTCCCACCTCCTCCTGCCCGAGGGGGGTCGTTCTGCTGTGGGGCGCGACCTGCTCAGGCCTTGGGGGAAGCTCTTTGTCAGGCTGCTGATTTTTCTCCTTTCCAGGCCCTGGTGCCCGGGGAGGGGCTGGGGGGTGAGAAAGCCAGGAGCTTTGCAGCAGGGGTGGGAGTGAGGCTGGGGGGCAGCCGGGGGAAGGAAGCCTTGGCTGGAGCCCAGAGCAGAGGGAGGGTTTGCGTTCCCCGCCCCACTGCCGAGGAAGGTGGAGGTATATCCAGTGACAGGGGCAGCCTTTGCCTAACGAGTTGCTCCTTGATTAGTTTCCTGGCTGCAGACCCTGAGAGGCCGGAGAAACTCTGCCATCGCCTAGAGCCCCTCCCCACAAGCCAGTGCCCTGGTGTGATGAAGTGGTGCCGTATTCGCTTCGTTCGCTTTGTTACCTTACGTGTGATTGCGACTGTCCCGCGTTAACCTCCAGTGTGCCTCAGTTTCCCTGGGCACTGCACCAGTGGCAACATGGCGATGGGGTTTTGGGTGGGACGGCCTCCTGCAGGCACACAATAGCTGATGCTTTCTGTTACCGGAACCTGGGAGGGGGGTGTGACCAGGCAACACCTTTTGCCCAGGAAGCAGGAGGCAGGGCGGGCTGCAGGGGCAGACTGGCTGCTGGGGAGGTGAGTGACTCTGGCTGGCTTGGGGTGCAGAGATGGGGGCAGGGCCCTTGGCTCTGATCACCCCTCTCCCCAAGTTGGATGGTGCTGGCTGCTCCTGGTCCCTGTGCTGACCAGTCTGTGCTGCGCTGGGTCCCTGTCACCTAAGACACCTTCTCTCTCCCCACTGGCTGGAGGCTCCTCTGGCTGTGGATGGGGGTGCAGGGCCCGGTGGCTCCCCACCCCTCGGACACACCTGGTTAGCCAGCATCTCTGCTCTCCGTCGCGTCCCTTTGTCCACCAAGGAGAGAGCCCTGCCCCGTCCCTCCCGACTCCTTTTCCCCTTGTTCTCCAGGAACGGTCCCACCTCCTCCTGCCCGAGGGGGGTCGTTCTGCTGTGGGGCGCGACCTGCTCAGGCCTTGGGGGAAGCTCTTTGTCAGGCTGCTGATTTTTCTCCTTTCCAGGCCCTGGTGCCCGGGGAGGGGCTGGGGGGTGAGAAAGCCAGGAGCTTTGCAGCAGGGGTGGGAGTGAGGCTGGGGGGCAGCCGGGGGAAGGAAGCCTTGGCTGGAGCCCAGAGCAGAGGGAGGGTTTGCGTTCCCCGCCCCACTGCCGAGGAAGGTGGGATGAGCTCTGGGAGCAACAGAGCCCCCCCCCCCCAGCCTGCCCTGCACCCCCACGGC